CGTTTGGTTTCTGTTGTTTGCTTAGTTAATGACAAGCGTTCATTAGTTTTCATGTATTCATGGGTTTTTCGGTGGCCTCAGGGGAGGAACAGCAAGCTTTTAGCGGCAGGTCTGCCCTTTTCCTGGGGCTCCTACCTGCTCGGGTTGTCCCTTCTGCCTGAGCTGTGGGGATGGGGCAGCGGTTGCTGTAGGAGGGCTCGGCGCCTTCCCAGCAAGGAGTTCAGTGCTGTGCTGTAGGAATGCAATAATGACTCTTCCCATATGTGTAATTAAGGGTATGAAGACTTCGTGGTTTTTTTTTTTTGTTTTTTTTTTTTTTTTTTTTTAAACCATAGTGCGCTGTCTTAAGTTGTGCTAAAACTGCTTGTTTAGTGCAGGAGTTGCTGCTTTTCCTTCTAAACAGAAATAACCGTGGCAATCTCTCCTCCTCCTCCCTTCTCCTCCCTCCCCGTTTGATAGACTGATACATGCTGGGTTCTGGTTGCACTGTCCTGGTTTTGCTGGCCAGAAAATGGCAGTGCACGATGTTGGTCTGTGTTTCTTTGGTGGTTTGGCAATGCTGTGCATTCTGCTGGCTTTTCAATACTGTGTTTTGAAGCAAATCTTTTAGAGGCTAAGTAGGAGTGAGACCAGGGTGGAACGCTGTGTGTGCAGCTCAGTGCAGCACCTGTTACTGCAGGCTATGGGGTGCAGCTGTGTTGAAAGGGATCGTGGTTGAAAGTATGAAGGGACAAGTGTTTTTTTCCTTTTAATTAAAAAATTACTGGCACCTGCCCTCCTGCTCTGCTGTCCTTTCACTGTTTAAAAAACAAAAAACAAACAAACAACTTTTTCCCTTCTCCCTCTTGTTCTTCTCCTTCATTTTTTTTCCCCCTTCACCCCCTTCCTCCCCCCCCCTTTTTTTTTTTTCCTTTTTCTCTTTGCCTTGTAACTACAAGCATTTGGAAAATATGAAAATAATAATTGCTCAGAGCCATGATTGAGCAGAGGGTTGTTAGAGTTAGGGTAGCGTGGTCAGGTTGTGGTTGGACTTGATGATGAGCCAGCCATGCCTGGGAGGACTAAAGGTACCCAAGGGCCTTACAGCGAGGCACGTAGGAGCACTGAAGCAGTGCATGAAGAGCTTTGGGCGTCAGTGTGGCCATGCAGTGATTGGATAGGGTCAGGTCCAAAGCAGTTCTGTGCTGCTCCTGTCCCACATGGGCTGTTAGTCCCATCTGTTCACACTGGTACCTGAAGCAGTGGCTTTGCATTCTGGGGACGTTTCCACGTGTAAATAGAGGTAAAACGGCCTGCCTCTCGAGCTGCTGCTTTTAGGGTGGTGTGAAGCATGCTTTCTATTTTGTTCATTGAACAAACCAACCCCTTGCTGGCAGCAGGTTGGAAATGAACTACACTTTGGTGTCTGTGTGCTCTTGGAGAAGACTGGAGCGATTGATTGGTCCTTGCTTCCCCAACTGGCTGGGAACTCATCCCCTGCTCAGTGCCAGACACAGCTGCAGCACCTCTTTAGTAGGAATGCAAGAGCTTTCCTGGTCTCCAGGGAGAGAGACTTCCATGCTTCCAAGTGTCTGGGGGATGCATTCAAAAAAAAAAAAGTAAATGCAAAGCAGTGAGTCAGGCAATAAAGGTGATGTCAAATGTAATCCAGAATGGAAGGTGCATGCTGGCTGCTTGCCTTGCAGGATAATCTTTGTTTGTACAAGTAGACATAAGATATTAGGAGGAATACCTTCTCCAAAGAGCAGTCAGGCACTGGCACAGCTGCCCAGGGAGCAGGGGAGTCACTGTCCCTGAAGTTATTCCAGAATGGGGGTATGGGGCACTTGGGGATATGGGCAGTGGGCGTAAGGGTGGGCTGGGGTTGGATGTGGTGATCTTAGAAGTCTCTTCCAACCTGAATGATTCTATGAAAACACTGTAGAATGAAAACACTTTGTTTTAGAGCACCAGGTATTCCCAGAGGAGCTGCTAGGCTATGCAGAACCAGGCTGCCCACATCCCTAAGTTCCCCCCTCTCCTGCTGGTGGCATTGCTTCTGTAGCTGCTGATGGTGGGGCTGCAGGGTCGATGGCAGCACAGCGCTGCTCGCCTTCAGACACATCCCGAGGCTGAGCACATCTCAGAAATCCTGAAATCAGAAGCTGCATGCTGGCTGCTTGCCTTGCAGGATAATCTTTGTTCACAGAAGTAGACATCAGATATTAGGAGAAATGGCTTCTGCAAAGAGCAGTCATGCACCACTGGCACAGGCTGCCCAGGGAGGAGGCAGTCGCTGTCCCTGGGGGTGTTGCAGAAAAGGGCAGATATTGCACTGAGGGATGTGGTTTAGTGGTGTGGTGGTGATTTATCGGTGATCAGATTAGTTGAACTTAGTGGTCCTTCCAACCGTAATGATCCCAGGATTCTATGACTCTCCCCACCTTTTTTCTAAGGGGGAAGTAATCCAAGCATGCAGTGGTGATTTATAGGAGCACAGTCAGTTATGGACTGCCCTGGGGACAAGTGGGTCATCCTGGGGTTCAACAAAGAGAAAGAACAGTCATGTGATTCACCCTATGGAAGTTTGCTTGGAATAATGCCCTGGATGGGCAAATATACAGGCAATGTGTCATGCCAGCATTGCACTGCTGGTGAACAGCCAGGCTGTGTGCTTGTGTTCACTTGTAGCTCTCCCCAGCCCCAGGTCCTGCTTTATGTGATTTGCTGACCTGCTGTGAGGTCAGGTGAGGAACTGGCTCTTTTCCTCACAGAGCAGAGCGCTCAGCCTCTCGATCTCCTTCACACAGTGCCAAGCATGCTGCTGGGCACTGCAGTAATTAAGATATAATCATGGTACTAATTGAGTAAATAAGCAGATGTTGACAGGTCATCAGGACTGCTGTGTCTCATGTCAGAGTTGTTCATGGGGTTAGCACGGCCCAATGGCCAAATCCCTTCTGCTGCTGGGATCTCACCATGGCCAGGTCTCTTTTGGTTGAGCAGCTCAGCAGTCTCCAGTTGACATTGACCCCATAGCAATGCCAACCTCTGCCCACTGGAACCTCTTGGAATTGTGTTATTTCATGTGGTGGTAAAGAAAAAAAAATAATAATAACTTGATGTGTTAAATGATGAGAAAAGGTTGCTTACTGTCAGCTTTCATCTTAAGGCACTTGTGACTTTTCTCTCCAAGTGGTAACATCACATGTGGGCAGTTTCGAAACAGTCACTGGGCTGCATAGGTAGAGAGGTTAAGTAAAAACTCCCATTTAAAAAAGTGCAATATGGAGAGAAATGCTGAGGGGAGACAGTATTTGCAGTATAGTATTTGCACTGTAGTTATAGTATAGTATTTGCATTATACTGCTATTAAACATCAGCACTGATTGGAAAACGCATCTGATCTTGGGACCAGAGACCTCCTGTCAACCAGGATTTTTTTTTTTCTGTGATCCTGTGTCAGAATACCCAACTTGTATAGAAAAATAAAACTGTTGTTACTTCAATTTCCTTTCAATTAATCACTGTGATTAATTAAGTCAGTTTATTAGGCAGGGATTGTTAATTGGTGGAGCACACAGAGTGGGAAAGAAAGGGCAGAGAAGGCAGTGCAGCCTCCTTCTGACAGAGCTGGAAGGCAAAATAAAACGACTTAAACACTTTCTGAGCAAATATAAAACTTGTGTCGTAACAAAAAATAAAATCCGAGTAACAAATGTGCAGCACTTTAATGTCAGAACTGACCGTCATTGGAGCTGTTCACAAGTAGTGTGGACAATCTAAGTTGTAGTTCATTTTTCTAAGTATGATATATAACCATTAGGATAATTTAGAAAACACATCACCAGAACTTGGGCTGAGGGGGAAGGAAGGGAACATCTTTGGAAGGTCCAAGTGGGAGTTTCCAAGTGAACGCTAGTCCGATATCTTGCGACAAACAGGGAGCAGTGAGGTCTGTTACACATCTTTCACAGCCTACATATAAACCAGCCTCGAGTATTTACCTGAACAGATATTTACAGGTTGTTTTTTTTTTTTTCTTTAAGTATTCTTAAAAAAGTAATATTTGATCTATGACACAATGGACGTCTCTACAGGGAAACATAGGCATAACAAAATATTTGAGAAGTCATAAAAGAGAACACGAGAGCAGTGTTTGGCCTCAGTAGAACACATTTAGGATGAACTGCAATGTATGGATACAGCTTTGCTCAAGAAAGGAGTTGTGCATATTTAAAGGTACTTACAGAGCTGGTCTCCTCCTTTTCTTGACGTGGGTATGTTTCCTAACCAGATGAGTAGAAAATCATGGACACCATGCATTGCTAAGGGAAGGCTATGCCAATCTCTTTTATATGCCTGTGCTGCAATGAGGGGATAGTGTCTTCTAACCCCTATGGCTCATCAGTGACAATACATGTAGGTTTAAGCCTATGAGTGTTGAAGGGCAATTTAAAGGATGCCGTGTTGAATGAATTCATAGGATTCATCTCCTCTTCTTTGTCTGTCTGAGCAGATTTGTATATGCTTTCTATAGAACCGAAATGGTTTAAATTACTTCAGGTCTACAGCCATGCTGAAATACTTCTCTTTTGGTTACAGTTGAACACTTAAAGCACAGATTACCATTGCCAGTCTGCATCCTTTTCACTCACTTGCTTTAAGGCCCTCTGTGTGCACTGTGAAATGCCTGACTTTAAGCACCTCTGTTGGAAAACAATTACTGTGCCTCTAAATATGTCTGGATGTGTGTGTGCAGTGCTTGCTTCCATACAACTCTGGGCAATGAGGTCATTCTCAAAAGGAGCTGGGTCTTCCAAAAGGACAGTGCATGGCTCTGATGCAGCAGATGTTGACCTGTGGGGAGAGCTTGCCCCTGCACCAAGGCCACACTTCAAAGCAGTGCTGGGATCCAACTGCTCGTGGCTGTGGTGCTCCCGTGGCTTTGCACCATTTGTGAGCCAGAGCTGCTCCTGCCCTGATTACTTCACAGTAATGAATATAGAAAATTACAAAAAGCAATTAGAAAAGTTTTTATGTCTTACCAAATGGATCTGTATTTTTATGGGAACTGATGTGGAATTTCTTGATGCCAGCTGTTGCATTCTTGGGTAATTCTGCTGGTTTTACATGAACTTCTTTGCTCATAACTAAAAGATAATCGGCTATAAACAAATGTACTGGAAATGGGGAGAAAGAAAACAAAGAATGGTTTCCCAGAATGTCTGAAAAGAAACAGGCAAGCAAAGGCTGCAACTAGAAAATGAGTTTTCTGCTTAAAATACTGATTGTAGTTATTTTATGAAGAGCCTAGCAACTTCAGCACTGCTAAATATTTGATGAGAGCAACCAGCAACTTCCAGAAGTGCTGCTGCCTCCTACTGACTACGATTGATTCTCTGCCCACTGAAGAGCAGACTTTGCATCCTGTGCCCAAGCTGACGGCGCTCACAAGATGCTTAAGGACTAACACCTCCATTTTCTCTCCCTCTAACAATATCTGACCCCTCCCAGTCCTTTCTGGCTTTTACGCACTCTAATGGCCTGGATATTTCATGCTGAATTTCTCCTATGCAATCTTATATGTATGTGTTAGAAGAGGCAGAGCTCGTAACGTTGCTTTCAGTAGTACCAGGAGCAAAATTAAGCACCAAAGACAGCAAGCTGACAGTTACTATTTCTGTTGTGCCTCTTTCTGAAACCACATCCATGAATCCTCCCAAAGCCAACCTGCAGAGAAAATGGATCGGTTTTCATTAAATCTCTCTCCCAGGTCTCTGTGGTTTGAAAACTGCTCTCTGATGGTTAATTTCCTTTGTCATCGTGTATTTTAGATGCAGAAATTGGGCAGGGCAGCTGGCATGGCGGGGGAGGGAGGAGGGGAGAGAACGGGTGGTGTGAATATAACAAAAAGCCCTTCAATATGGGAACTCAAAATTGGTTTTGTTCTACAGAATCACTAGGTTTTGTGGCTTACGTGGTAGCTCAGTGGAGACATTTGCTTCCCAGCGTTTTCTCATAACCACAACTCATACCCCCAAATAAAAAAATATCCCTTCAAAACCACTTCCTATTAGCAGAGCATACCTTGTATTATAAAACTTGCAAGTAGACCAGTGTTGTACCATGAAGCCTATACAGGGTTGGTTTGTTTTTTCTTTTTTTCTTTTTTCCCCTGGTGTAAAAAATATACAATGCTACTGCTCACTTGTTGCAGCATAAAGGTCCAACTGGTACTGTCTGCCAAAGGCTCTGCTGCTGCTGCCCCTTCATACCTCCCCAACCCAGACCACTGTGTTACCCCTCCTTATACCTGAAACCTCACAGCGTAATGTGTTTTGCCTCCCATTTATAACAAACAATGAATCTTTCGCTGGTGTAATGAGATACTGTCCAAACAACCCACTGTCTTTCACAATTCTGTTGTAGCTGCTCCAGGGCCAGTCTTTGGATGTGATAGGGTCCTTTAAATTCTTCAGTACATTCATTTTCCCTGTCGACAGCTCTACGAAAAGCACATCTGTTTGCAAATGTGAAGTCGCATATATATAGTACTGATTGCCTTCGGTGAAAGAGGGTTGAAATGTCAGATCAGATACATGTATGTTTGTTTGTAAGTCATAAATCAGCTCGATTTCCCCCTGGACGGTCACAGTCTGGACCTGAATCCTGCCTCCATCCCCATCCGCGCTGACCAGGAAGCGCCCATCCGGTGAGATGTGAGGTGTGCCCAGCACGGCGCCGTTGGTGCCGACCACGGCATCGGTGACGCTGTCGATGAGGAGCTGTGGGGCAGCAGCCCCCCGCTGGTCCCTGCACTGCACCAGGAAGTATCCCCCCAGGTGGGTGTAGGCCATGGTCTGTGGTGCGCAGCTGTAGTTCCTGAAGCTGATGGTCTTGATGTGGGTCACTGTTTCCAGGTCGATCTTGCGGATGGTGGGTTTTGATTTGTTATAAATGAAGCCAAACCTGAAAGAGAAAACATGACACTGAAGTCATCTCCGGAAACTCAGGGGTAAGCTTGGAGAAAGAAAGAAGACAGCAAAACTGGGAGATCCCTTCCTCTTCATTCTGTGTGCAATAACGCTGTCTGGCTTCAGCAAGAAATCCCTCCTGTTTCAGTGCTTCTAAACCTGCTACAAGGAGGAACTCGGTTACAATTAGCAACCTGATGCTGGAAGCTTGAGTGTGTGCTTGGATAATGTTCTCCAGATCAGAGCTTGGGGTGTTCTGTAGGCAGGCACTAACAAGCTAAGTATTCAATCTGTTTCAGATTCGATCTGTTTCTCTGGGTGGAGAGCAGCTCTGACCTCTACATGTAACTCTACTGAGTGACCCAACGTGCCCAACCCTGCATCCGAAACTGGAGCATCGGAGGGCAGAGCAGACTGTCCCAGCAGCCTGGAAGGTAGGAGCAGAACAAGCAAAGGTGGGCTGAAGAAAAGTGTCTTTTTCTTACTCCAGAGGGCCGACAACAGTGAGCAGAGAATAAATGTTCTCTAGAAGATGGATGTTGCAGCAAAGCTGACCTTTGCTGAAGGGAAAAAAAAAAAAAAGAAGCCAGGAAAGGTTTCAGCTTAATTTGAGCAGAGCCCATAGGAGCAGCCTGTTTGTGTTCCCCTGGATTCACAGGTTGCTGGTACTGACTTAAAAAAAAAAACCCTAATTTTATGTTGAATCTCTTTTTGTCCATTCAGTGCAGAGGAAAGGGAATGAAGCGAGCACTTAATTTTGCATCTTTTCCCTGAAAGATTTAAAATTGCTTTTTGAAACATGGAGGACTGTGCTTGCTGGCACATAATAGATATTTTGCTTAAAACACTGCATTTATTATTTTTTATCCCTAATCCGTCTGTCAATGAGATGCTCAGCAATGATTTCACATCTGAGGACTGAGCCAATGCAGTGTATGATCCCATGAAAATCACTGGGCTAAGCCTCTCATTTTTCCATTATGCTCACATCCATTAGAGGCTTCACAAAATACCCGCAGTAGAGATTCATAGTGCAGAGTGTGTGGGGAAATTGAATATGGCACTTACGCTTCCCTTGGATGAATGCATTTTAAGTACACTTTAAAAGATGCTTCTCCTGACAGGATTTTTTTCCTTGAGACTTCTTCAATTCTTGGCCAAATGCCTCAAGAAGTTAAAAAAAAAAAAAAAAAAAAAAAAAAAAATAGTTCTTACACAAACTTCAATTTAAAAAAGTGGGTCAGGATGTATCTTGTGTGCACAGAGCTGCAGGAGAAGCTCAGTGCTCATGTGAGACCTGTGATGCAAAATCTCAATGAGAACCGTGCACTTAAAGAGATTGTAATAGACAGCAACCTACCCTGGGAACTCATTCACATGGCTATGCTTCCAGATATCCATCCGAAATAACAGGCAGCCAAAAGACATGCAGGAACATTTGCATACAAATATTTTGGGCTCTCAGAAGAGATTGCTTAAATATTCACCTTCCTGAGAAATGCTGCTATCACCATTTATTGTTTCTGAGTGGAGAATTTAGCATATGAACCCAGTAAGTCTCATTAGACTGTGAGCAATTATTTTTCTGTGCTGAAGGTGAGAGAAAACTGAGAAAGATCTGGCCCTGAACAAATGAAATAGGAAATTAGGCACAGTGTTGCCTGTTCTGCACGGGGAAACCTATCTGCAATTGCCTGCATTTAATATTTCTCACCAAAGATCATCTGTTTGCAGCTGATGAATTGTACTGAAGGAAAAGAAACCACAACAACCAAAACAAAAACCCAGCACATAAAAGGAGTAAAAAAAAAATTCAATTATTCCACCTTCCTATGTCTGAACCTGGACTGCACCTCCTCATCCCAATCCATTACGTGTAGCAGCCACACACCCCTGCACAGCTCTCGCTTATAACAATGGTTTAAATGCAAACTGGAAAGAGGAGGTAGGGGAAAATGAAGAGTGACAGCCATGAAGTATGTCTTATTTTATGTTTCAGCAAGCAAAGTTATTTATTTTGTATCACGTTCAACCCCAAATCATTTAAGCGTGACCCTCCGTGCTCAGTGATCATTGCAGGGAACCTAAGCTTAATGGAAGGAGTTGATTATGATTTCTGGAGAGTTTAACTTAGTTAAACTGTATTGGTGACAGGAGATGATTAAGCAGTTGTTGTAATGGGGTAAGAAGAGTATAAATTGCTGTGAAGTTATCATCCATTTTGCTAACTTTAATGGGAAGCTTCCTGTTCCTGCTGGGAAGCAGTCAGTATTACTGTAAGTTATTAGTATGTTAGTTATAAAATCTCATTAACCACTCCATCACATTAACATTCAAAACTGATAGTTCAGAGAACTGATTTTCTTCTTTCTAATGTGCACTGCGTATCATTTTTTTCTGCTCAAACCCTGCTCCTCACAGACAGAGCCAAGATTTGAACAAGCAGTTGTAAACGTGGCCTGAAGCAGAACAAACATTTACCACTAATGGCAGTAAATCTTTGATTCTAAAGCAGCACCCAGGCAGGGAAGCCAACCTTCTAACCACTGTGTTCCTGGTACCAACACACCAGGGCGATGCTGCACAGAAGCACGGCTGGCAAAGCCTGGGCCAAGGGAAGCCCAGATTTGTTCCTTGCTGTCTCAGTGCTTTGCTGAATAACAACTAACCAGCGTGCTCAGTCATTTCTCCTTTTTTTTTGTGCACAAAAATGATAAGAGTATTTAGCTCAAGCACACGCTCATTCATTAACATGGGTAAAGTGCTGTCAGGATGTTTGACGGGTCCCACTAGCAGTGAGCAGTATGGGCACTGTCGCTATTCATTAAGATAATTTCTTACCTAACGTGATTAATAATAAGATTTGTAGGTGGTATAAAGAAGTCATCCACTCCTTTGAACGGCGTGCGGATCACATGCTGCTCCTCCCCTGCGCTCGCCTCCGGTATCACCTGCAATAAATACACAGGGAAGCAGTGACTGAGGCAGAAAGGTAAATACAGATTACACAGCCAAACCTGGTACCTTGGCTTTTCCCAAGGATGCAGTAGGCTCAAATTGATTAACGGCTTCAAAATAGCGTTTGGTGTAGCTGCCTTGAAAAAGTGGGCTAATAAATAGTATTTGAGGCTTGACATTTGTAAGGTAAGTACACAACTCTGCTTTCATAAGGCATTTATATTGCAAGAAAGAGCAGTCGTGCGGAGCTGAAATAGCATGACAGCACAAAAACCACAATAATTTATTCCTCACTGTCTAAAATAAACATTTAGTTCATGGTCATATTTATTAATCTCACTTAGGTGCAGAGCGATAATTTACCAGCCTGAAGGCTCAGCCACTCACTCACAGCACTTAATTATCACTTTGAAGGAGAAGACCTGTCCATCCATCTGCCACACCATGCAGGACTCATGGGCTGTGACAAAGTCCCTTCTTCATTCCTCCCATTCTGTCCCCTAGCACAGAGACCTTTCCACTTCCTCACCGGACAGAGAGAGGCAGCTTTCAATACTTAAAATGTTCTCAAACAGTTTCCTTGGCTCAAGACGACTTCAGTCCATTCATTAGGATATTCTGTTCATGCAATGTGCAACAGCAGTTGCTTTGAATTTATGGCCACATAATTCATTGAGGGAATGCTAAAGCCTTTCAAGGTTTAGGTTCAGGCAGCTGTTCCAGCCATGCCATTTAGATTTCTTCCAATTAAACTGTTCAAGAAAGATGTCTGTTCTTGCACAGTGCTTTCTCAGGGCCACAGACAGCACTGGATGTTTCCTTCCCAGGAGCCCATCATGGCCAAACAACAGCATCCCCTCAGCCAGCTCGTGGGCCGTGTGACAAACCTCTGACATCCCAGAACTGGTGGAAATTTAGGGCAGCTTCCATGGTAGCATTTTTTTTTTGTTCAAGAACATTTGATTGCGTTTCTGCTGGTCTCATGAATAAACTTCACCAAATGAGCTGCTGGTCACCTTGTGGGAAAGACGGGGAAAAAAAAACCCAAAAGAATCTGCTGGTGTGGATGCTGATCTCAGTCACCACATGTGTAACTGCACTTTATAACGATAACAGAAAGCACTATCTGAGCTGGAGCCTCATAACAAGTTTCCAGCTGCGCAGATGGTGTGTTCTTCTCAATAATCACATGCTTGAGACATCTCTCCCTTAATTACAGAAACCTCTCACAGCTGGATGGAGGAAATTAAGTCAGAGAGAGTAAAAATAGCCCATTTTGTCTCCTTATGACCTGCACAGCCCACTGCAGTCCCCAGGCGAGGTGAACTGGCATCAGTGCCTCAGAACCTTTTTTCCTTTTGCCTCCATTCTGTTTCTGGTGCCTTTTCCTGGAAATGCTCAGAGTGCACCCTCTGCCTGTGCTGTTCTCAGGTCAGAAAGCAAAGAACCCCTTCCCCACGCCATCCTCACGCTGTCAGGGAATGCTTTCATGCAGCCCTAGAAGCAAATTTTGTGGTGCAGTGAATATTCACCCTTCTTCTGTGGGTCTGGAAAGGTTGGGCAGCAAGTGCTGGAAATTAACTGCTGCAGTAGGGAACGCCTGGCTGGATCAGATCAGGGCTGGTGTTGGTTTGTCAGAGGACATACAGCAGCAGCAAAACGCCCAATTAGACGCCTGCGCTTCTGTGCCATCGACACGAGACGAGCAAATCCCACAGGGCCATGCAAAAAAGGAAGCTAATTGGGATGGCCGAGCCCGTGTGCACCGCCGTGCCCTGAAAACCTACAGTGCTGCTGAGCACAGGCAGCAAAAAAACAGAGTCGCAGACACAAAACGTGCCCCTCAGGTCCTGTTTTGCTCTTTATGCCTCTTTCATGCCATTGAGAGTTGTATTTTTTTTTTTTTTTTTTTTCTTTTTTTGGCTTCTTTTATTTTTTGGGGGGGAGAAGATGTGAAGCTGGATTTACAGAACACTATCACTGACTTCTCCTTTTTACTTCATCATACACAGCTTTCAGAAGCACTGAACAAACTACCTTCTCTCTTATGATTTGCATTTTACTCTGAGAAGAATGCTGTTGTGCCATCACCACTGGGAAAGAATAAAAGAAAGCTGAAGGCTTGTGAGAGAGAAGCCACAAAATAAACAGAGTTTAAGGAAAACAAGAAACAATTTAGTGCATAGGCAGAAAACTTGGACTCCCAGATTAAAGGCTGTTAAATTACTTGCAAGCAGCCCACCACCCACCATGCTCAGCAATGGAAGGACTCACCTGCAGTGTTGGCGACGATCGCCGCATATCACCCCAGCTCAGCACCCACACCTGGTCGTGGGATTTGTCATAATGCAGTTTGGTTGGCAAAGGGTCCACGTCCACAGACTTTAAAAAAAAATAAAATAGGAGATGATACATGTTTACATAGTGACACAAATGTCCCTAGGCACATGGCAGATACATTAGCTCACTGCTGACATTCCCATGTACCTCTGCTACACTCATTTGTAAGCTTTGTACAGTTTCCTTCAAATCAATCTGGTGATCAGCAGCAGCTCCAGCAATAGAAAAGCTGGCTGCTCAGCTTCATTCTCTGGCTGCACCTCTTGCTCTGTTGCTTGCAGCCAGCAACTCAGGGGTCAACTTCTGCCCCAGCCCCACCTGCATCAGTTCATTCTTCCTGACCTCCTCAGAATGGTGAAGGAGCACCATTTTAGCAGCGTAGCTGCAAACCCAACTGCAGTTGCAGCCCTGAGATGATGATAAGCAGCTCATAAGGGATTCTTTTCCTGGCAGTGTGGTTTCAGAATGACATAGTGTGGTCTCATGGGTGAAAATAACACAGGTGCAGCAGCACGCAGAGTGATGTCAGATCCCCTGGCCAGAAACCCATTTTTGTTTTCCCACAGCAAAGTCTGTTGCCATCAGTGAATAAAGAGTTCCCCTTGTAGGTACCTGCACAGCTTTCTGTGTCTGGATGTCAATGATCATTACTCTGTTCTGCTTAGGCTGTGTCACATAGATATACTTGTCTCGGACATTGACTGCAGAGGCCCAGAGGCAGGACTGAGTGCCTTCCCCTTCCACTCTGGGACAGATCTCCTCCTGCAGAAACAAAAAGGAGGAAAAGAGGCTTACTGTCTGCAAATTCTGAGTGTGGAGCAGTATGAAGTTTGGCTTTGAAAACCACAGAAAACAATTCCACGATGGCTTTTTTAAAATTATTATTTCCTGTCTTGGAAAATGTGAAATAATTACTCGGCGTGGCACTGTGCTGCAGCCTGGCTCTGCCCCAGGACATCACGCAGCCGGACCTCTGGCAGACACACACTGCATTTAAATGATGATGTTGTCTGTGGATCTGCATTTTGAAGGACACCCTGGTTTATCAAGACTAGCAGTGCTGTCAGCATTTATATTAACTACATCACAGCTTTATATTTTTTCATACGGTCTTCATTTTCAGCTCGGGAGAGCCTGCCCTGTGATGGCTGTGAACAAAGACATGAGAGCGAAGCAGGCAGGATCCCATCAGATGTGGCTTTGACATAGAAACTTACCCTGTTCCAAAGGAACCAAATCCAGACGCTCTGGACCAAACCCTGATCTCAGCTGCCTTGTGCCCTATTCTGTTTCAGATCTCTGAGCCCTGTGCACAACCTGTACTTGCTTCCACGGTAGCTCAATGGGACCCCAAGTAGGAAAAGCGACACGGGATCTCAGCAGAATCATTTCTCTTTCTCCTGAATTTCCCTTCTGCTGAGATGCTTTATGGGAACAAGCATTTGTGTTGGACCCAGCTGTGATGTGGAAAGGACAAACCAAAGGGAATGTGTCCAACAGCACAAATGTTTGGTTTAAATCCTGTCAGCACAGCAGCCGGGTCACTTTAAATGATGGCACTGCCCCTAGGGGGGAAGCAAATGGAGCAGCAAAGCTTGCTCAGAGAAAGAGGATGCAGAAACAAAAGCAGTGCCACCACCAAGTCTGTGTCAGAGCAATGAGTGGGAATACAGAGATTGCACCTGCAAGCAGCACAGCCCTGTCAAGAACTTGCTGGAGGCCACATGCAAGGGATGAAGTGATACTACCATACAGCATGCTGCAAAAGCACCAAACAGATTCTGGACTGCCCTCCTCATCCTGAGAGCACCTTGGCCACAGCACCCACCCCACCAAGGAGAGCTCACCCCTCTTTTCTGCTACACTGCTTTGCTGCACTTCTAATAGCAAACAAAACCACTTTTAGTGTAGGAACCATCCTAAAACTGCAGGATGATATCACTGTCCACATGGCAAACACTCAAGATGCTGAAAGGGAAAAAAAAAAAAAAAAAAAAGCCAAACCTCCCTTGAGCATGGCAAAGGGCCCTGTGATATCTGCAGGAAATGCTGAAAGGTCTCTCTGTAAGGCAGCCAAATAATGGTGATAAAAATCCCTTTCATGCCCACTACTGTGCTGACATTCTCTCTCTAAGTGCCCTCTCTCTGCAGCGCTTTGCAGTCGTTTCTCCAGAACCACCCCTTCGACATTTACAGCTCTCTGTAAAGGAAGGACAAGGTGTGTACTCCCTTCTGACGTAACAGCTGAAGTGTGGGTTAATAATATTAAGTCCATGCTAAGGGCTAAGGGCCAATTCTGGGGTGAGCATCGGTGGGTTTCCAGTAAGGTTTATAAATACATCAGTGGGAAAAAAAAACCCACCAACAAACCCAAATCAACAAAACATTATCAACCACAAACATAGGAGACTTGGCAGAACACCGAATGCAGACTCACAAGAAGATGGTGACCCACGGCAGCAATGAACTGAAAGCAAGGCTGAGCCCTTTTCCTCAGAAGGGAAGGAACCACACGCTCAGCTCTCTCTGTTAATTGGGTCTTCCCATAAAACTAAGCAATGGAGTGATTAAGAAAGCATCTCTTAAGCCTGTCCCTTAAGGAGATGCAATAGTTCATAGCATCATAGAATCACAGAATCACAAGGTTGGAAAGGACCTACAAGATCATCTAGTCCAACCGTCCTCCCATCACCACTGCTACCACAAGCACTAAGCCATATCTCACAGCTCCTCATCCAGACACCTCTTGAATATTGCCAAGGACAGAGACTCCAGCACCTCCCTGTGCAGCCATTCCAGCACCTGACCACTCTCTGAGAGAAATAGTTCTTCCTTATGTCTAACCTAAACCTCCTCTGGTACAACTTGCGGCCATTCCCTTAGGTCCTCTTTGTTGCCTGGGAGAATGTATTTCTGTGCAGTACACACACACAGGTCACTGGGAATGCTTGGCCTCCTGGCGGCCATCCTCTCCACATCCCTCCTTGCCTCCCTGCTGTGCTTTAATCTGGGAAATTAATCCCCCACTTCTCCCACGTGGAGGTCTCTTAATTTTCAAGAGTAGATGATGCACCCCAGGGATGCTGTGTGAAGCCCACCAAGGTCCAACCTTTGAGGCAACAACAACCTTTCAAGAGAGACTAAGAAACATTTCCCAGCCGTCAGCTTCAGGACTTACATAACTGGAGAAGATCCTCTCCTCGGGCCTGATGTGCCTCCGGATTTCACATTCGTTTGGCTGAAGGACTGTGATCCCATCATCAGAAAAGACATAGAACATATTCCCGACGCTCAGGCCTTGAAGGGAAATAAAGCAAAAGAAGCAGAATTTTTTCTGTATGTATCCTCCCCAAACAAAACCTGCCCTACATAAACGTTGGTCATTCGGATGCAGTCGGTGCATTCACAAAATCAAATTTCATGTCACAACGAGGGCTTCAAGGAGTGGAGAGGTACAGACACCTTCAAAAATGCTTTGCCTTGGTGGCTGCAGCCGTGCACGAGTGTCACTGCTCAGCTCTACACCGATGCACACAGCAGGACGTGGTTCACACAGCCCCTGCACGACACTGTGACCAACTGCGACTGCCATTTTGTTTCCCTATGAGTTCATTCAATATGGTTTGCTAATAATTTGAACTGAGAGAGAAGTTTTAGCTCAAATTAGTCATAGGGTTGTCCTATTAGATCAACTTCTCACACCATGCAAAATGCATGTGCTTAAAGGCTGTCCACAAATAAAAATATATCCTCTACTTCCTCAAACTCAATGATAGCCACCAAAACAAATACATTTTTGAAATCTTGCAAACTGTAATTCACAAATGTGGAGTACTTCAGCATTGCAATAGCACTCACTTATCCACAACAGGGGCATTCCAGGAGATTTGGGGAGCTGTCTGTCACTGCTTTGCTTTTAGGTCACGCTTTCTCATTTCTGTCATGCAGAAATGTCATGAAACACTGACAATTTAGTCCTTCAGCTACATGCAGTTGCAGGAATGTGCATCTTTAAGAAATGTTTGGGATCTTTTCCAACACTCAAGTTAGAAAGATCCGAGCATCATTTCTTTTTTAGTTTTTTAAATAATCTTTTTTGGTACCATCACCAATAAATGTTTGCAATGACCACTGTCACCCCCAGTAATGTTGATAGTGTACTTATCTGCCAACAGTATGGTGTTAATTTGTAATTTCTTGTTGATTATATTTTGAGCTTAGAGAAGTTCCCAGTTCTACGGATCTGAACATCACAGTGCCTTCAGCTGGACCAGTGGTAGCAGCTGCCTACAGGGTTTCTCACTTCTCAGAGGTGGATTGCAGGATTAAGGCAAATCATCATAGCAGAACTTCACAGTATGAACTCATGTAATTTGGACAAATGTCTTTTTTGGAGAATTTCATTCAGTATAGAGTTCAGTGAGGCTAGGAGGGTTTTTTGAGTTAAAAAGCCCTCTATTTGCGCCAACTAAGTGGCTTCAGAGTACAACTTCTCAGCATCGGGTGTTGCTGTTTGGACAGTGTTGAAGCTGAGTCTCTCTACAACACAGCACAGAAATACCCTGGTTTGGGCACCAGGAGCTGGGATCCTCAGATGTGATGCCACAAGAGGGATCATGCACAGAGAAAAAAAGGCACTGAACTCCCATTGACAACTAAGTTACCTTATTGGCTGAGTGCTCATTTTATGAATATAAGGTTAAAGCATTTCACTGGGGCATTTTGGACCAAAATCTGCGCTCGCAGCATGCACACAGCTCCCACCTGCTGCAATGGGATTTGAGTGAACACATCAGAGCTTGGCCCCACCTGGAATGAGTGCACAACACTTCCACAAGGAAAAGGTTTTAATCCTAACAAGTGGAAACAGGCAGGCAACAAACTATGATCATTGTGAAGATGCTCACCGTTATTTTCATGCACAATAGCAGCATGATTATCTGATGCTCCGAATACAATGAATGTGTATTTCAGAATTGAGGCCTCAATTTGTCACAGAATTACTTTTGTAATGATTTCACCTCAGTAGGCTTTGACTGGGCAAGTCCCACCACTTACTTTGGAGTAAAACGAGTGCAAGCTTTCCTGGTGACTGGACACCATTTCCTAATGGCAGTGAGGTACACTGAGGGTGCACCCTTGTCAGAGTTTATGGAATGAAATCAACATGCTTTTGCAGTCAGTAACCTTCACACTGATTTTTAAACAAAGCAAGCTTTTTGCTAGGCAAACTTAAGTGTTCTGCTGTGACTTGAAAGGTATTGCCTAGTCTTGGTTGGGGTACAAACATGAACAAGCCCATGGGAACCAGCAAAACGTCCTCTCTGGGACACTTGCTGGCTGAAGATGCACCAACAAGAGCTTTCCTTATTTGAGGAAGAGTCCCATCTAAGACAGGTGAATTTGTCACTGGGGAATACTCTCCTCTGATCCAATATGTGAATAATTCTCCTCAGTTTAATCTAAACGCTTGGAAGTATTTTAGAACTTACATAAGGTAACTAAAAGGCTTTCAGCTTTTTAAGTGCGTGCCTTTATATAACTGATGGCTGCCAGCTGCCACGATAGGCTCCCGTTATCCAAGAATAAAGCAAGCAACACTCACTGTGAAAACAAAGGCTGGCATGAAAACAAATCTCTACTTTACAATTGGGCTACTCATAGCTTTTTATGTGCAAAAACTAAGAACTTACTCGCATTTTTTACTTGCCCATACTTGCATTGAATAAATATTTCACGAGCTTCCAGTCTCACGTTTAACTGGCAGGTCATGCTGTGCGCACTCACTTGTGGAGCTTTCCTTCTGCGTGGTCTATGAAAGGTGTTGAGGACAGACTGACTTAAAGTGACAAACTACTTGTGATGCGGCTCTGACTTGCAGCAAAAGCTTGTTCTGTGCAGCGTTCTGACTGGGGTCTTCCTAAGGCCTCTAGCTGACACAGGCATTGTGCCGTGAGGATGTGATCATTTAAAGGGAGCTCAAGTCTACCAACCCATCTGTTAATACTTCCCTTTGCGTACACAGACACTTTCATTTTAACAGAATATGTTAAAATGCAAAAACCGAGGCACCACTCCTCTCTCCAGGCTTTCTCTGTGCCACATTTCACATGCTTGATTCCATTCAGTGGATTCTTTGCCTGGAATGGAGGTACTGGACAAATACTACAGAATGCAGCTGGGAATAAACCGCCTTTAAAGATGCTGAATTGCTTAGGAACATCAGCAGCAAATCTGCTCTCAATGCCTGTGTTTTCCCTGTGAACTGCTCATAATTTGTTAAAAATGAGCAAGGTTGATAAGCATCAAGTCCAAATTGTTAAGTAAAGTTATATTAAGACTTTTTTGCAACCAACTTTTTAGTTTTCATTAAGCATTACTATGCTTCTACACCTGATAGAGTTATTCAACTACTTTCTTTAAAAAGGAGCACGAGGGATGATTAGATGCACTAAAGATTTAACTTTTAAGCAGAAATTCTTAGTGCCTGGAATGCCATTTTAAGGACCACTGGCAGTGTAAAGGCACTCTTTGTGGCCATGCATCAGGCACCTGCAGGTGGCATATTTGGGGATAAAAGCTGGAGAACTGTTTCATATGGTCTCCAACTGGCTGCTCTGGATGGGTGCACATACCTGCACTACCAGTAGGACCTCAGGTGCACCCTGGGGCAGCACTGGTCACCGAGGGCTGGCATTTTCCTTCTGCTCCCAAAACCATTTGAGCAAATCAGAGAGCTCTAAGCCAACGCATGGAGCACAGCTCTCATTTGAGTAGATGCGGGCATTCCTTATGACATGGTCTCCAAAGCCCTTTCCTAAGCCATCACCTGAACAGAGGGGTGTTAGCAGCAGGCAGCTCTGCTGTGCACAGAGACCTCCATGGGGCTGGAATGGCTGCAAGGTCCTGGCTTCCCCACATGCACGTGGCAGACCTACGAAGCAGCTCCTTGGGCAACTCAGGAGCCTTCTCCCTGCAGGATGCCCACTGTGGGCATCTCACTGTGTGTTTTAGGAACATTCACAGTACTAGTGCATACAAAATCAAATCAGCTCTGACTTCAGGTGCTTCCACAGTATATTCGAGTCAATTAGCTGTTTAGGATGCTTTACCTCTCATTTAGCTTCCAAGGTACGCAGATGTTGACCTTGTGCAGGGCACACTATAAATTTAATCGAACTAAAGATCTTAACTGCCAATTAAAACAAGGAGAAACAGGGCAACCTTTACCCTGCATCGATTTAAAGGACGGAGGAAAGTAAAACTTGAGGGATTTTTTTCTGCTTAACAGACAAGAACACCATTTTGTTGCTCACCTAGTAAACATCAATACATGCTACTGAGGAGAAAGGGCTTGAATTGTTTGCTTACAAATGCAGCGTATTGAATTTATGCCTTACTTGGTCGATTATGGTAATTTGGGAGCACTTCTGACACTTGCATAATTGTTAACGTAGCTTGAGAATCTCAGGCTACTTGCTTTGGTGGCAGTTTATATAAAATCTGCATTTTTATGTATTTTATCTATTATTATTTCACGGTGGGAAAACGTAAGAAGCTATCAGCAGGACTGACATTGCTGGAGCAACACCTCTCAATTGAATACGTTAGCTTTTAAACTTCTGCTCTGTACGTAATGTGGTAACTGCAAACGTTGGCAGAGTTAGTGGCAGGTCAGTGGAGAATGGCCCATCATGGAATTACTAAAGCAGACAAGCACATTATCACTACGACAAAAGAACTTTACTGCAGTACCTTCCTCTCGCCACAGTATGTTTGCAACTGCAGCATCAGAAAATTGGGGAAGCCAGAAAATAATCAAGAAAAAGAAAAAAAAAACAAAGCAATGTCAAAATTCTCATTGTAGCAAGTAACTGGATTAATATGCACGTTTAAATGAACTGTTTAACTTGTGAAAAGTCCGAAACATTCATCCCAACACAGCAAACCATCAGGACAGGTGCTTATTTCAGAACACATCTGCTCTGCATGGAGGCAATTCTGAAGCTATGAGGCGGGCCAAATCCTCGCTGATAGGAAGACAGCTTCAGCCTGTGCAAAGATCAAAGCCTCACAGAACTGAAGATGCCATCTTCAAATGTAATTGGAGGTACGGTACAGGCTGTGACTTTCCTACAGTTCCAGTGAGCACACATGATATCTTTCAGAAGCTGGAGATGGGCAGTTATGGCAGCTACACGCTTTGCAGCATTTCTTCTCTGAATTTCATGCAAGAGCTGCATTTTGTTTTAGGATTCAGACCCTACATCTATATTTGAATTTCTATTTAGGATACATCCAATTATTTCTCAACATACTGTAATTTTCCTTGCTCAAGTATTCATGATATTAACAAGAGTACATAAATCTGTTTAATGAGGAAAGGAATATATTTCCTGAAGAATTGCCATGAGAATGCATATTTATCGCCAACTTCTGTATTAACAGCCAGAAAATAGCAAAAATCACATTTGCACCTAGACTTTTAGTATCACCAAGAACCCAGGCAATCTCCCAGGTAGTTAAGGCAGCAGAATTAAGAAGGCTCACAGGCCTCTGTGAGCTTTTCCATAGGGACAACTAATCACCTCCTTCATTAATTGTGTTCTGGGGACAGCACAGACAAGGCAACAGTGCCACACTCCAGTGGGAGACACGCAGCTAGGAGTTGCTGCGAGAACATTTATCTCTGAAGTGGAAGATAATTTCATGCCAAGGGAAACCTATTTTGCTAGTCAGAGATGTAAATAAAGACAAAATAAATAACCCAATCAGAGCATCTTTCAAGCATCTAAATATCTGAGAAATTCAACTTGCAACTAGCTGAAAAAGTCTTGTACAGGAAACAAAAAAATGTATTTCTGAAACCGTATCTCGTGCCACAAAATATTACATTTTGGGTTCTTTGATATCCAAAAATACTGCCAGTTCATTACTTCAGTAAAGTTGTTACCCACACCAGCACAGTTCTGGCACATGAAAGGCATCACCGTCCTGCACATGCGGTTTTACCTTCCCCACACAACTCCTTCTCAAAACCATAACCAATCCTCACGACTCAGAGCCCCACGTAATGCATGCAATGGATTACATTATTAAACTGCATTTGTCTCATCTCACTTTAAATACGCTTTAAAGAAAGAAATATGTGGTAAATGAAGCTTACGGGTCTTTCTTGCAGAATCTTCTATGAAAAGTGAAGATATGTCCTCGTCCACTCCCACTTCATTTTTAGCAATGCAGGTGTAGGCACCAGTGTCTTCATACCGAACACTGCTGATGTGGAGCTCACTCCCGTTTGCTGCAAGAGAGAAACCCATGAGCAGAGCTCCTGATCGCTGCTGTGCAGCTCCATCACAGCCTGCTGCTCCCATGACAGCAGGGGCTTTGGGGGAATCCTTATGAGAGCTGATGTGTTGCTTCTTTCCATCAGCACATACAAACTTGGTGCCAGAAATGAACAAAGGAAAATACGGAAGGTGGACAGTAAGTTAAAGGCATGCCTTGTTAAATATTGCTTGGTTCAGTGGAAAAACAAAATTAACACATCCACTTTGCAAATGGTTTTTTTTACCACATCGCCAGAAAGTCACGTTTGGGAGAGGTCTCTCAAAACGCCTCCCATCATTTTGATTTCCCAAGTGGGATCATTATCCAAAACCTTTGGAAGATTTTGTGATGCTGCACCCAAGACAAGAGTAGCTGTGCTGCCAGTGCTGGTGGAGGGCTGCAATGCACCGTGGCACAGGGCAGCAAGGAGCTGTTTTTTAATAGTTTTGCAATTTGCAAAGAAATACGATCGATTTTCACTGTCTGTTACATCCTTATTTGCAACGTAGGGACCAACAGAAGGCGGCTGAGGAAAGACACGAACAAACCATGTAATGCGTCAGACCCAAACAATTTAATGCACTGTTCCTCTGATGTGCAAAGACATACGCAGGAGGAAAGGCAGCGAAGAATCAGGAGCAATGTCTTTTAACAGAGCACTGTTACCACTTATATCAATCAATACTGTCTTTCCCGACAAATTCACCAGAGAAAAAGATAAAAGGAAAGAACGGCCTTTGAAACACCATTTTCAACAACTGTGGCTTAGTGAAAGTACAAGAACCTCCAGCTTAAAGTGCAAAATAATTCTCCTTAATCCCCACCTACAGTACTTTAATTAATCACAATTCCACTCTTACCTAGGAGCGTGAGCTGTTTGGATAGTTTTGGCACGATATCCATGCCGTTCTTCAGCCAGGTAATTCGGGGATTAGGGATGCCTTCAGCATGGCACTTGAGGCTGGCCGACACGCCGGGCTCCTGCGCCTGCGTCTCAGGGTAGACGCGGATCACCGGCGGCACTGCGGGGACACGGAATGGAGATGCTGAGCTCAGCCACCAGCCCACGGCTCTCAGCTCAAAGCTACAGCCCGACTTGGAGCAGAACACAGGAAATAATAGAAGAGAACAAACTAATAAAGCAGCGCCAGGGAACAACTTGGATATTGCACGTGGTGTTGAGGCCACTCTGGCTTGCCTTCGTTAAGCGACTGATTGAACTTGGGTGAAGTTGGATTAACATCTAAGGAAGGTACTCACACATTGAGAAATTAACATTTAAATTCTATTGAATCCTTTTAAGGGAGGAATTCAGGCCCTGCACACTGTTTTCCTATTAGATAGACCACAATTCAACATTTTAAATATGCATAAGAAAACAGCCTATATATTTACTACCTGTTATTCTAAACAAATAAAGTGTTCATAACTTATTTTTCTGAGAGGCTTTCAAACTGTGACTTACCTTGTTTCAGGAAGCCACCTCTGAACCATTTAATACACTAAATTGGCAGAACGACCAATTATATTACCATTTCAGACAAGCCCATTGATTTTCAATCATGCTGCTTTACTGCTCAAACCAACCAGACTTAATACTTCCCATTAACTATTTCTTAACGATATTCTCACTTTCTCTGCACAGTGCTCCTCCTGGCGCTCCCAGGGCACACGTATTCAAGAATTAAACTTATTAAAACTTTTTCACTGATAAAATTTTGGGGAGAACAGAAGGACCAGCACCATCCCAGTTAGCAGTGCTGATGGCACTGGAAGGGCGGTCTTGGGCTGCTCTGCTCTATATAATTAAGTGGTCAGCTTTGAGCCAGACAGAAGTTGTTGGGACTCAACATGCACCCGTAGGAAGTTGTTCTCCTTTGTAAAGCCATCCTCAGAATGGATGCAACACATGGGTCTGGGCAACCCAGGGGCCCAACTCCAGGAAGATGAGCCACTCGTGCCAAGGTCAGCAGGGGCTGACAGGGGTCAAGGAGAACGTGTGAGTGTGGATGGAGGGCACAGCAAAGCACAAACGAGTCAGTAAAAAAGTTCCACTGGAAAACACTGGTTTAAAGTACCTAACCCCCTACTGTGCTTTTACATAGCCCATCGTTAGCCTACAGGACTGACAAAATTAAACGCACTCAACAGTTGCTTTAGAATAAAATGAAATCTGTGTTTGCAGCACGCTATATATCCACATATCCATCTGGGGATAGTTTGAATAATTACGCTCACTAGCACACACTTTACATCTTTCTATTTCTATTTTTTTATGAGCCTTACCAGAGAGAGACGTATTTTACCCCTGTCTAACCTACCAGCTGCTTAAAAAAGCACTGAGTCATCAGCTCTGGTTAATACTTGGAATGAAATCAGCCATGACAGAAAGCCCTCAAGTCTACTTGTTTTTATAGCTTTAAAAGAGAGAGATTGTTCAAGTGTAATCTGAGAGGAAACGCCTGGAGGCAACTGGGAAGCAAAAAAAAAATGAGGACATTTAGAAAAGGCATATCTTTAAATCCTGCTTCTGCACTGGCCAGGTAGACTTATTTCCTTTTCTTCCACTTCCTTTGCTTACAAAGAAAAGGAAATGTGGCTGTAAGGAGCACAGCAGTCAGCACTGCACTGCGTGAGAGCTTTTTAATCAGGGGGATACCAAGAAGTCAGGACTTTTCTTTAAATTGGGTATGCAGTTTCTAAATACAAGCACTTGCTGTTTTTTTTTTTAACCTTCTCTTTCTGCCATTACTGTCAGGACTGATGCTCCACCTGACTTCAGGAGACGCCCAATGGAGTGGGAGAAGAGCAGAGAAAGCTCTGCAGCTGGAACAGCTGGGGCTGCTCTGTGCATCAATACGAGATACAGCATCCACGTGGTTTGGGTGAGTAAGAGTCAGGAGCTTCTGATTCCTGCTGTACCTTGGAAAGTTAATTTCAGTTCCTATGAGCAAATATCTCCAGGTACACTAAGAAACTCATTTCCATCCGCTTTGACAGAATTCTACAAAGGTCCTGCAGCCAATGCCTGTTTCACATGAGATCTGTTTGCTACTAAGAGCATTTGTGGAACTAAATTTAGGACTGAGGTCCACTGAAAGCCTACATCATTTACTGAGGTTGGAAAACACCTCCAAGATCATCCAGTCCAGCCATCCACCCACCACCACCATTTCCCCATTAAACCATGCCCCTGAGTACAACAACAAGCAGCTGGTTTGCCTTCTAGAAAAACCTCATGAAAAAGAATGCCACAAGAATCAAGCCGGTGAGATTCCCGAACTGTGGTGAAGCCAACTGGTGCTCAATGATCCAGAGAGCTTCTCCAACTCTCTGGAAGGAACTCACTGCACAATGTAGCATCAACATTCTGAAAACTGGCTGAACTTGAAATCACAGCAAGGCGTGCATCTTTTCAATAGTGATTACTAAGTAGACTGCTTGTTTTCACCTTGCAAAAAAGTGTGTTGCACCTCTGTTCTTGCTTTCTTATTATTCTCCTGCTCATTTTAAAACTCTTTATTTCTCCTCACTTGTCTTGCATAATTCATTGCACAGGTAAGTTATTGCATGCAACTGCCTTGTGATAACAGCAAACTGCAGAATGCATTTTTATTGTCCTTGTTACAAATTAATACATTCCAAGTAAGCACATTTTACTTTAAACTTGCAAAGATTTCAGCTCCAGACTTTGGAATATATGGATTACCCTTTGCTATTTCCCTTGGTGAATATATATCATTACTAACCATTACTGTGCCTGCAGCCAAAGGCAATATAAAAAGGCTATTATCTTAAGCAAAGTTGAAAGAAAAAAAAAAAAAGGCACTCAAACAAGTAGGAGATTAGGTAGGTTGCCTACTACTGAATACTGAGTAGTCCCTTCCTTACAGTTCCTCACAGTAGAACAACTCTGGTGATAAAGCACATGATGGCTACAGATAGCACTATCAAGCCCTAAAGACATACATTGCTGCTGCAGCACCTATATACTGCAGTGGTTATTTAAATTAATACATTAATCATTCATTTCAGATGTTTAATCTTCCTATTTATGATTTGAAAGGAGTTTCCAGCCCTATGTATTTTCTCTTGAAATGCCACATTAACAAAACCTGCGTTTAAAACATCTCTGTTATTTGAAAACTTGTCCTATTGGACATTGGGCTGAAGATTGAATTGTTTTTTTTCCAACTAGTTTCAAGGAATACAATATTCTGATTTATGCTGATGCTTTGCAGAGTGCAAGGACCAAGGAAAATGATGCCCCACACTCAGCAGTCTCTTGATTTGCAAACTATCAATTTTCATAGTTGATTACAATTTTATGAGATTCTTTATCCTCACCAACTCTTTTTCCTCTTGAAAGTGATAAATGGCCTTTCTTCCCTACAGTCGGTGCATGCTGAACACATTTCCCAAGCAATATCCATACACAGGAGAGAACATAATTTTCCTACTGTTCTTCACTTTTCCTGATCAAAGTCACAGCACCCAAGATGAATTTTTCATTCCTCAACTCAGCGCTGCCTTTCAATAGGTTTGTTTTTTCCACAGGCACGAAGGGCCACATCTATAAAGGCACTGATCTACACTTTATAACTGCTGGGGATCCTAAGGTCAGTGAGCCCACTCTGAAGATACCCCAACCACATGTCACACGTGTGCTTTGTGCCCCTTGCTCAGCAAACACTACCCAGGGGTTTGGGCCATCCACATGGTGGGCTTCACGCTTTCTGCTTAGCAGAGCTCTCACCTCGGTTTGTCCACGGGAGCCTCTGGGCTCTCCCTGTTATTTATGGGATCCCAGAAGAGCTGAGCAAGTCCTGATGAATATTGCACATTAAGCTTCCTGGAGCCCTGCACTAAAAGTTCTGATAAATATTTCAGTGGGTTTGTTCAGTAGTTTGCACAGGAGCACCAGGGCAGTATTGTTTGGATACCTGCTCAGGTACCACAGAGGTCCAACAACTGCATGCTTCACCTGATTCTGTGTACTTAGATGTGGATACCAGGGAAGCATTGCATGGCATTTCCCCCCCTTCAGCTAGGTCAGAAAAAAAACCAACAAAACAGAGCATCCAAAGAGGATGTATGTGGCTGGGATCGGATTATTTTAAGGAGAAAAAGGCAATAAAAGGAAAAGACCTTGTAAGCTGAAGCTATGAGCCTCAGCAATGAGCCAGACAGTACAAAAAGGATCAGAGGACCCTGGGAGAGGGACTACACCTCCCAAAGGCACTGAATCAACTGAAACCTGCCCAAAGTGGGGGCCTGCCTGCACAGACACAGAGCTTGGCAAGGACTGGGGATAAACCCACTGCTTCCAAGCGGTTCTTCTTTCCCTCTTTATTCCCCATAGAGAAACTTGGAGTTTTCTCTATTTCAAATGAAAGGAAAAAAAAAAAAAAAAAAATCAGATTGTTTTTTGTAGAATAAAACAGAACAAAACAAAAACTAAATCCGAACTGTCTGTTTGATGTTAGAAGTGTATTATCCCCTCCCTGGAGGAGGCACGCAAGCAGATACATCCCAGTTCTGGCTGACTTACTGCTGTCACATCCCCTTACAGCTTTAGCCTAATACAGAACAGCAGCAGCAAAAAGTCCACATTGAAGATGGAGTTTTCAGCCTGATGCAGACAGACAGAGAGAGTCCCCAGCGCTGAACAGAGACAATGAACTATACTTAGATTCTCTACATCTTCACTCAGTTCAGCTCAGCTTTTCCCCTCTTCTCCTGTCAGAAGAAATTCCTCAATTTGTCCTTTATGGTTCTAAAAAGCAAGAAGGATTTCTGAGATGCGCTCAGCCTCGGGATGTGTCTGAGGGCGAGCAGCGCTGTGCTGCCATCGACCCTGCAGCCCCACCATCAGCAGCTACAGAAGCAATGCCACCAGCAGGAGAGGGGGGAACTTGGGGATGTGGGCAGCCTGGTTCTGCATAGCCTAGCAGCTCCTCTGAGAATACCTGGTGCTCTAAAACAAAGTGTTTTCATTCTACAGTGTTTTCATAGAATCATTCAGGTTGGAAGAGACTTCTAAGATCACCACATCCAACCCCAGCCCACCCTTACGCTCACTGCCCATATCCCCAAGTGTCACATCCCCCCATTCTGGAATAACTTCAGGGACAATGACTCCCCTACTTCCTGGGCAGCTGTGCCAGTGCCTGACTGCTCTTTGGAGAAGAAGTTTTCCCTCATACCCAAGCTGAACCTGCCCTGGCACAATGTAGGGCCATCCCCTCTCATCCTATTGCTGTTATCCAAGAGCAGAGGCTGGCTCCCACCTCACTACAGTCTCCTTTCTGTAGCTGTAGTTTTCTAGTGAGCCTGGGCTGACAGCAGAATGCACAGCATTTTTCTGCAGTGTTTAATGACCATGTAGCAACACTGAAAATACAACATATAAAATAATAATAATAATATTAATATAGTTATTCCTTTTTATTTTTGTATAATTGAGTTCTTGCACTAATAAGAAAACCCACATGCAGCTATGCTATGAAACTTCCACTTAAAAAGCAAACATGGAGTTCAACCCAAGCAGCAGGCACAAGCACACTGCAGCTCTGAAACATGAGCACAGCCCTCCCTGCACTCCCCTCAGCTTTCCTCCCATTCTGGTTTTAGTTTCAAAGCATTTGGGCCTTAAATTCTCAGTGATGATAAAGACTACATTGTCGCCTGCCAACTAAACTCCATTCAGGCCTCATAATATATCACATAATATAACGGGATTAAGTTGTTAGCATGCTTTCCTTTCAGCTGCCATTTGTCAAACAAATGGCACTTTGAGGAAGGAAACCTATTTTCCCAGCTGCAGCACACACAATCTAGTTATCCATATTGCTCAGATTTCGCAGTTTACTCTCTCAAAAGATGACAAATTATTATGTGGAAACATTAAGCCTGTTTTCATTCAAATCAAGCGGATGCTTCGCGCTCTTCCCCAGGCACTCGCATGGGTGGAGCATGGAGCCATGGCCGAAGACCTGAGCTGCAGCCAAACCTCCACCCAACATCCGAGCATCCCTAAAGTGCCTAAATGTCTCTTTGTGCTGTTTCCCTTTGTATCAGCCTCTGTTAACCGGGTGTAGTTACCTGCTCTCATCTGCTGATAAGCTCTCTTTGGCAGAGGTCTGTGCACACCTACAGAAGTAACTAAACAGTAATTTTCCTTGTAAAGGATCAACTGTAACAAAGCTGCTGATTTGATACATTCATAGCAGAACACAGAGAAATCTGAAGTAAAGACGGGATAGGATTTATGAGGTTTCAAGTTGGACCGTGATTTTGTTGGTTCCTTGTGTTCTCATTCTCACCCCAACAAAGAGTGGGACAGTGACATCTGTATCCCATTCCTGTACGAACTGGACACAAAATGGGAACATGAATCACACCCAGTGGGCTGGATTAGCTGTGGGATTATATCACATGGGTACAGCACAGAGGGACCTGCAGGCAGGGACTGAAATGTGTCCCTTGCTCTGTGCAAGGGAAGGATGGGCATGAAACAAATGGCGCATGAAACACCCATCTGAGTCAATGTAATCTTAAACTCAGCCCAACTGAGTCTAACCCAGAGGAAAGATGGCAAACATCTGAATGAAAGTCCCACCAGGCTCAAACATGGCTGAATGAGATGCTGGAATATGGCCCGCGTGGTTTTCTCACTCGGAAAACCATTTGCCCTCATTTTGCAGCCCAGCAAAATGCCTTCAGCTGATGTGAACAGCCTTCTGCTCAACCAAGCTGGCTACAGCCAGGTAACGACTTGTATATTGCTGTGAGGTGGATCACTAGTTTTAGAAACATAGTGCTGTATTTATTTAAATATCCTGGCCTATTTCATGCAACAAAAGTTATTCTCTGGAAAATGAAAGTACTGAAGCAACAAAAGCAGTCATTAGTCCTAGAGAGGCTCCAAAACACTGCTCTAAAACTCTCTGGAAATGCTACACAAATGGTAAAACAAGCTGTCAGTGCCAGCTACAGCCCAGCTAACGGCGCACACGTCTCCCCGTGCTCCCTTTCTTTCGACTGCCCGTGTGATAGCACAAGTGAGCCAACTGCTGGTGCCTCTGCTCTGCTACACAAAGCCAATTTGTTGCGTGGCTCTTCGTGTCTTTGTGCGAAGGAGATTAACCCACAGCTTTGCTTACAGGAACATTTTCAGTGGATTGTCACACATGCCATTTACTAACCATTCACCTGAAGGATGTGGGTCTGATACAGCTCTTCATAGCCGTAGGCATGACAGGTGTAATTGCCCATGTGAATAGTTGTTACCTTGGTGATGTAGAGGGAATCGTCTTCTCCAAAATCCTGTAGCAACAAAAGACAGGAAAGGCACCTTATTATTTAGTAAAAGCGTGTTACGCACCGCGGGAAGGGAGGTGACCTGCTCAGCGGTTTGGAGAGCAGCACAGCTTGGGAACACAGCCTGCATTCCGAACAGCAAATTTCAGAGTTCATAAATCAATGTGAAGAAGAAAATGAGCAGCAATTTCAGAGTAAGGCAAAGTAACTCATCTGAGAATATGAACTTTTGTGCCGGTTGTTAACAAGGTGCTTTTTGCACATAAAAAAAAGATAGCAATCTCCAGCTGTTTAATTTATAGAGAAATTTAACATCTAGCCGTTAACCTCAGGTGCACAGCACACAACTCTGGGGTGGGTTGAGGCTTCCTTTAGCTGTGCTGGCCCTCAGGAAACACACGGTAACCTTGAGACTTGATGAGGAAGAGCTGAGGCTGTTTGTCAGCTCTCAGACCACATCCCAGGCAGAAGACAGGGAAAAAAAAACAAAGGCTTTCTGTCAGAGAAACTTCTTGGAGTCAGCCTGCCTTCATCCATAACTGGCTGACAAATATCCTTCTTTTTATCCCTTCCCTTTCCCACATCTGCTGTCACGCTGCAATGTTTGCTTGTCAGCAGGGTGCAAGTCTGCTATTAGGGAGGTTTGGGCACTGAATATTTTGCATAACTGCTCTGTTTAGGAATATATGTCAAATTATAGTTAACAGAATGGTAGCACTGATGGGTACACAAAGCAGCTTCTTTTGTTACTCTATTTACAGCCCCCAAAGTGTTCATACCTTCACGGAAACTCAGGAGAATATACTTTAAGAACAGTTAATGAGCTTAAAGAATGATTTCCCCTTAATTAACTCCATGCATGAAGCATGCTAAATTCAACTCCTCACACAATTTCATCACAAAAGCAAGGTAAAAAGCAATTAATAATCAGGGTGGCATGAAACCAGCGCAACAGGGTGAGTGTTGGAGAGCTGGAATGGCAAAGTCACACTCCTTGTGCAATCCTTCTGCTGCTCTTCCTCCCCACAGCCAAGCCCTGGGGCAGCAAAGGGAAGCGTGGGGTCTTCCCTGATTTTTAGACATACTACAAGGCAGAGCTTGCAGGTGGGACAACATTTTGTTTCTCTTCTGATCCAGAGGGGGACAGAAACAAGGGCACTGCCTCTGCTCTCCACTGCCCATGGCGTGCTGCTGCTCTGACATGCACAGATCTGAGCAAGAACAAAGCCAAAGATGCCCCTGAAATTCGTTATCTACAACCAAAAGCATCTCAGACACAAGTGGTGCTTTGGGTGTCAGGCAGATTGGGCATCCAGAATGAGGTTAAGCTCCCCAATACATCACAGATAATATACACTGAAAATTTCCCGTTTCCAGCATTTGCCTGCTTTCTGGCCAGCTAGATCTTTCCTGCTGAAAAACAAAGGTGCAGGAATAACCGCAAATGGAAGAGCTATCACCCCTGCTCAAATGATATTTGCACGAGAGAGAGACAACGCTTGCAGCAGAGGGGACTCAATAACAGTTTTTCAAGTTAAGCCCAAAGCAACTCAGATTGAGTTCAGGTCAATAAAAGCAAGACGACCATTTTTATGGAATGATTTATACGGAGTGGTAGAAATACAGGAGAATGCAATCTTAAAGGAAGCAATGTGCTTAGAACTGAAAAGATATCGCAGCAAAATATTGTGAATGCTTGGTCTGTGCTCTGTAATTGGCTTTTTATGGACAGCCTGTTTTTTTTTCAACCCATACAAACGTATTAACGTAATACATTTAATACAATAACTCTTATAAAAAACAAACTGATGCCAGATTACAGGATTATTCTCTTCCTCTCCAAATGCATTTTTCTTGTAAAGAGAAGCTTTTGTTGGTAAAAGCATGGTTTATAGCATTTAAAAAACTATTTTCTGTCTTCCAGCACTTAAAAAAGGTCATCAAATGCAATTCTGACGATGCTGTACCCTTCCTGTCAGGCTCAGAAGGGAAATAATCTGCTCTACATTAGAGCTCACATGAGACCACAACATTATTGAGAACCCCAGGGTTAGGGATGGGAAGGAAAACGTAATCACCAGATTTAGGTTCAATACTGAATCTTCTGTTGCTACAAAAAGAAAGTTGAATTCTGTAACAAATCAGTGATTCTTCCCGTGTGCTTATTTATTGCAGCTTACAGTTTCTCCCTGTGTTTCCCTGTGGATGTAATTAGTGCATGAAGATTTCACGGTTACATTTGATATATATGCATGCATTCTTATGCACAAACACTTGCTGTTTATTCTCCATTATATAAAGGTGCAATTTTTTCCCAATAAAACTTCTCAAAAACCATTTACCATAAAATCTCTTTAGAGTCAAGTTCTGAGCTTGTTCCACCATCCATCCATCCATCCTCCCAGCCACCCCTCCATACAAACACATTCACGTAAGGTTTCTAGGGGAGAACTGGAGGGAAGAGGTTGAAATAGGCAAAGGGAACAAGAAGAATTCATGCTTGAAAAAGGTAGAGGAAACATTTCTGTGTGCTTTGACTTTTTCAGATGGCTTTGGCTTGCAAAGCCAAGTTCCCAAGTCACCACAAGCCTGAAAGCACTCAGGAGCCATAAGCATCTATAAAAATGATGTAACACAATTCTTCCCCCCTAAAGCTATCACACCTTTCAAGCAGAGCATCTCATGGCTGCCCAAAGTCACACTGCTGTGCAACCCTGGGAGCTGGGTCTGCCCTACAATTCCCCTTCTATGCAAAAAGGCAAACTGCAGAGACATGTTTATGTACAGACCCATGACAAAGGATAAGCAAGCAGGAGAAAGGGAAGAAAGTCACTTCTGGGGCATAGTTATCCTCTGTTACTGCTGAAGCTGAGTTTTCTTGTGAAGGGGAAGAAATAGAAGCGATGTAAATGTATGAGCAAGAGGCAGAAGCCCTTCTAACAGCTACAGAGCAACAGCAAAGCTTGCAAGGAAAGCAGTCAGGTAAGGACAAGGTGTTCTCACCTCCATTTTATCAATTTCATTATAAAATAATGTTATACGTTCTGGGTTAAAAACTAAAAGAAAAAAAAATCAGCAAGCAGTGCTTATAATTTCTCATAATTGATAAGGTCATCTAGTGACAGCTGACAAATGGACTCCCCCAGCACTTCATCTCGTGTTCTTTCTCTCTTTTTGGAATCAAAGTTCTCTGCCCTTCATGAGCTTCTTTTACACCTTGCAGCTACCCTTCAAACAAAGGGCTGATTAAGTGATCTCGGGATACATTTGAACTTCTCAAGATTAAAAGAAAACCACCACCCTGCATTTAAATTGATAACTGCTCAGTAATCTGAAACACACAGCCCAAGTTGCCACTGCACACACTCCATTTCAAAAAATAACAAAGCAGATCCAAAAAAAAAAAAAAAATGGATATGCACTTTTTTGTACTGAATTTCCCTTCCATCACCACTGATTACCCAAGGCATCAATTCCTCCAAACAGAAGATTTTTCACATTTATTTACCCATTCCTCCTTTCTAATGCATTCCCTGGTCATGCAATCTGCTGCTGCTCGGAGACACGGCGCTTAGAAATGTGTAAAACATCACCTATTGCTTGTAAATCCAGCTCCTGCTCTGACACAGGTGCGATGTGTTATGGAGCTGGAATGCCACAAATCTCCAGCTCTGACACGCAGGGATGGGAGCGGGCACAGTGCTGGGGCAGCCTGCCGACACTGCGATGGAATCCACGTGTTTTCCTTGTCAGAAAGCTTTCCAACAGGACTTGGGGTTGTTCCGACACAGAGGGGGAACATATGGGAAATGTCTTGAAATTCTGGCAAAAAGGAACCATTTTCCAGGAGGTCTTATTTTAAAGAGCAATTGGCATTTGGCAGATTAGGGGTTTTTTTTGGTTTTCTGTTTTTTTTTTTAATCATAGAATGGCCTGGGTTGCAAAGGACCACAACACTCATCTCATTCCAACCCCTGCTATGTGCAGGGTCACCAAACCACCAGATTGAGCTGCCCAGAGCCACATCCAGCCTGGCCTTGGAATAGAAGGCCAGAATAACTTCCATTTACTGGAGGAAAACAAACCCAAACTAGTCTCAAATGGTTGGAAGGAACAAACCTAGATGAGCTCAAGGAAACCTTCTCACAGCTCTGGTACCTCCTTCAGACAAAGCCAGTCCTGGCGCTGAGGCTTTGCTGGTGCCACTGGGTTTCCACTAGAGGGAAATCAACGCCGTCACACTTTCATAACAGCCAACACAGAGATGAAAATTCAACCGCTTGCTTTAAAAAGCCTGCCTGATCCTCAGAGTCCTGGAAATCTCTCTCTGATAATGTTTACGGGATTTTAAAACAAAATGTACCCAAGCATTTAATGAGATTATTATTATGCAAAATCTCCAACAATGGCTATCACTTGGAAAGTGATTTCTCCACACTAATCAAACGTCTCTGATCTTTTTTTTACAATAGACTCATGAGTGATTCATATAAAAATAATAAAAACTAAATTAGTCATGGCCTCTTAAATCACTTTCTTTGGTGCTCTTAATAATTCATTCCCAGAGACAGGCTGAGAACTTATGCTTCATTAATATTATTTGTTCTTGGTTTTACACACGGCATCTCACACTTTAGTGCTCTACATGGAGAAAAATTCAGCCTTAAGCAAATGCCAGAAAACTGTTGCAAACACAGCCCAGTGGGATATTAATTTATCTCTGTTCCTGTTTTGCTGCTTAAAGAATTTAGCACAACAGAAGACTTTGCTGGTGAGCCAGAAAAAGTTTTTTCTTGACTTATTTGGATACAGCCTTTTAAAATAACCGTACAATTATAGCACAGATAAAAAATGGATGACTTTATATCCTCAGAAACCCAGAGAGATGATACGAAGAAGAAAATCCACGGTGGGTCTTCCTGCTGGTGGAAGGAGGGATGATTCAGTGAAGCGTGTCTATTAATCGGATCTACCACCCATTGCAGAGAAAAGCAACGAGTCTGATC